CTGTACTGTCGGAATAAGAGCAGCCCAGAAGGTGTTGTGTAATTGATAGTTAATAAATTCAGTGTTTACTCTTACATTACATGTACATTAAGTGTTGTGTATCTTTGTGATCACTAAGTGTCTTCACAACCCCTATAAAGTGTGTCTAAGCTGGATCCCAACGGCCTTCCCCTTCGACCTGAGGCCCGTAAGCCCTGAGAAAGAATCCAGCTCTACCCATCTTTACCCACTAATCCCACTGTCCAGGAGACTAGCGATTCACCCCCACCCTTCATCCATCCTAAAGCCCCTGAGAAACTACCTAGGAATCGGACCCGTAATCGCAGCCGGACTCCCGCATCATCAGTGACTGACATCTATAGTGGTGCAGGTCAAGTGATTAGTGAAAGGTAAGACAACTAACCTTGAACCGACCCCAAGAAACAATTACAAAGTGGAGCCCGAAGTAAGGCCGAGTAAAAGAACAGTTACAGTGTGACGGACCGAAATGAAACAAATCAAATTCACTGCAGTTCTGCAGCAACATTTCATCCAAATCAGTTGAGCTGTTGAGCCGTGATTTAGGTTCTTGAATTTGGTAGTAGTCCACCACACCTTCAGGATGCATTATGGCACTCTTAAATTCTTATATATTTTATGCAGAATATATTTTTGGTTATGACACGAGTTCCTTGAATTTGAAAATCTTGTCTGAAGAGTAAAACTGATGCTGGTAATAATACACAAAGGCAGCAGCTTATTCCCTGATGTATATACATCCTTTAGTGTCAAGTTTTGTTTTGCAGGCTCAAGGAGTTCCTTGTCCAGCAAGATAATTTTGTTGCAAGTGATGGGACATACAATTGTGAAGTGTGTAATAAGAGTTTCTTACTACTTGGCCTTCTCAAGTCACACACTCAAACTCACAAAGGTAAGAAACCATTCAGATGTGACCTTTGCAGTAAAAGTTTTACACGACGGAATAATCTTGTTGCACATGCACGCATACAGAATGGAGATAAGCCTTACAAGTGTGAAGTGTGTTCCAAAGGCTTTAACCGGAATTCAAATCTTTTAATTCATTCCCGTACTCACAGTGGAAACAGACCTTATAAATGTGAAGAATGCGGAAGAAGTTTTACACAATCAAGTCATCTCATAGTTCATACACGAATACATACTGGAGATAGACCATTTATATGTAACATCTGCAGTAAAGGCTTCATGACACATGAAGAACTCTTGGGTCATTCTCGTTCACATGTCGGTGAAAAGCCATTCAAGTGTGTGCAATATGTAGTAAAACTTTTAGTCTTCGTGGATCTCTTAGAGTCCACATGCGAACTCATGATACAGGAACACCTTTCAAATGTGAATTGTGCAGTAAATGTTTTGGGAGGCGTGAGGACCTTGTTGCTCACATTAGTAAGCATACTGGAGAGAAGATCTACAGATGTCAGGTTTGCCCTAAACGTTTTTCACGTAAAGGGGTTCTTCTGGTTCATTATCAGACTCATTCAGAAGAGTGTTGATATAAGTGTGAAATTTGTTCTAGAAGTTTCCGAGCAAAAAGGAATCTTCTTACTCATATTGGGATACACACCAGAGTCTGATGCATGTTCTAAGAGATTTACATCACATAGAGGCTGTCTTCCATGCTGATGAGAAACCATTAAATCTGCTACATGGAATGTAATGCTTGCAGTTCACTTAGAACTTGTGAATCATAGATGCTCCACACAAGCCTTTAGAATTTTAAGTATTGATGCATATATGTGTAGAATACAAGGGAGTGAATGATTCTGGCTCATTCTGATTTCAGACTTACCTAAGAAGAAAGATTTTATTGCCATTTTAATTATTTCTTATGTGTTTTATATTTATTTTATTGAATTGTGCTGAGTGTAATATTTTATTCTGCTTGCCACAATGAATGTGTTAAATAAAATGACATCCATATGCCTAATCCTATTTTATTGTATATGTACTCTGTTACTTGACTCTGTTAATTCATAGTAATATACTATGTGTCTGCAGTCTTCCATTTGTACAGTGCGTACAATCAAGTGCGCGCCGCGGCTGCAATTTGCCGTGAGTCATACCACCGCAGAACGGATGCAGTCGCGNCTTGTGTGATGAACAGAATGTAGGCATGTCATTAATAGTTTATTGTGACCAGAGGACGTTGGTGTAGTCAACGAGCGGTAAAACAAAATTTGTTCGGACTATCAGGAAGAACTAGCTATGTCTGTTAAAACTGAAGGATTGCAGGTAAGCCAAGATGATTTTATTGCTAATAGTTTCTACAGTGAATATAAAAATAAAATTTATCATCTAAATAAGTTGGGTTGTGTAAACCAGAAGAAAATGAGCATAATGTGTCGTCACCGATTATATATTTATAGGCCATTTGAATAGTTGGTATCAGTAATAATATTTCACAGACCACTGGAATTAAAGTGGAACCTGATTTGGACATTGGTACCAAAGTCACACAATTGTGTAAGAAAATGGAGGAGGATGCACTATTGAGCTTGCAGTCCTTAAAATGCAGAAGTGAGTCACTCTTAATTCTGTACAGGAACATGAGCACAGAATGACACCGTTTGATGTAATTGCATTATTAGAGGACTGCAGTTACCCCCAAAAGAAGGATCTCTCATATGTTTCTGGAGTAATTGCTGTACTCAGCAACCTCAATGCAGATACAGAAGATTAGTATGTGTTTGAATGTGTTCAGTTCAATTTTGTGAATCCTTCTTGGTCAAACTTTTGACATAGGATGCAGCTTATATACATTTAGTTATTTTGATGGACCTCGCTTTACATCAAGTTTAGTCATATGTAAGATTTGAGGCTTTCATGGCGGTGACTATGAAGAAAGCAGTCTTCTGGGATTTGGCACCGTGTATATGTGGTGTTAAACGACGTTTCGGAGGAACGTATCGTCTCCATCTTCAGGGTAGAAGAAAAAATATAAGAAATCTGCAAGCGAAGAGACCGTGAGAACCAGTAAAAGCAGACTGTGTTGGAAATATACACAGCTATGTGAGAGCAGAAAAGGAAGGGGGGAAGGGCAAGTATACAAGTGAAACCAGTAGTGAGGGAGGGGTAGGGGAAGGGAGCTGGGCCAAGCATGGTTTTTGTGTTGGGAGAGAGAAAGGCAAGGTTAAAGGCTGGGCACTAACCCGTAAGCTGAGGGGGGGGGGAGTTGTTATGTTGGTTGGTCATGGCCTGTATGGCCTTCTGGATCTGGCGTCATATCCCGGTGGGGGTTTTTAAGAGAACAGATGAGAGGTTTCCAAGACTTGCTGAGACAAAACCCCCCCTCTCTGTTCATATTTCCTGGATGCAGTTCAATCTCAATTGCCTCCCTAATGATGCGATCCATATAGCGGGTCTTGGTGGCGAGGATGGAGGTATTCAGCTTCAGAATACCTTCAGAAATAGTAGGAAGAATTCAGTGGAACAAAAAATTAAATGTGAATCGTGGTCAAAAACAGTTTTCACAGAGAGGATGTTTGAAGGGATATATTGAATTGAAATGAATTTATTTACATTCTATAAATCCTAAGCAGGTTAGTACCTTTGGATACAGAACAAGTCAAAAGGTTACATACATAAGTACAGGCAATTTTAGCTTAAAAATTAATATAACTTAATTTTACATCATTCTCTATTTACGTTGAAGTAGTCATCTAAAGAGTAGAAGGAATGAGCATGTAGATAATTCTTTAACTCTGATTTAAACTTTTTAGTATCATT